TTCGTCATGAACCAAGGAGGCGAAGCTTAACTGCCCAATAATTATATTTCTTTACAGGAAATTAAAAACATGTTTTTGAACATCGTGTTGTTCAAAGGAGACAATGTATATTAATAAGAAATTGGCAAAATATAGACCCCACCCACCCACCCCATCTCAATTGTGATGACTTTTTTATTCTTAGAGACTTAAAACATGTTTAAAATGGTAAAAGAGCTTTTCAGATTCATCATAAAATGGGGCTATTCTGAGTGTGTTCCGAGTCCAGCGCTTTTTTAACCATTTGTTTCGGTGGCTTCATGTGAGAGAAGCTTTTTATAATTAAAAGTGATAAAATCGTGCTTAAGGTTCACAATGAGCTAAGCGCGACTAAACAATATTTCCATTTTATCAATTGAAAAAGAGAGGAAAGTATTAATTTTGACGACGTCGTAGAATATTTTGCCAAAATAAGAATGCTAAAATAATAGAAAACAAAAAAGCGTGCACGTACACGTACACGCAAATGTTTTGAGCCTATGGGCGGATCGTTTTTGCCTGCCCTCACCGAAGAAGGCGGTCCAAATCCTTCAAGGGCAGAATTTCCGGTAGGCTCAAACTACAACGAAATTTACATTTTACTCTATAAAATTTTATTGACAATAACGGGACGGACAGTAGTTATATATACATTTGGTAAGAAATATTTATGGCTCACACCAGTTCTCTCGAATTTGTCGGAGAAGATTTAGCAGGTAGTTGTTCCCATAAAATAATGGTCACTTTCGTTCGTGAGTAACGATGGTCCGGACATGAATTATTTTGCTTTCTAACATCTTTCGACCAATTGTTCCGTATAAAAAATCACTTTTTCAAATAAAATACTCTTAAAAAAACGATATTGTCGTTGAGTGACATGTAACTGGCATAATAATAAAAACGTGCCATTTTTGTTAACTGATATTTTTTTCATAAATGTCGCAAAATTATAAAATTTGTCTAATCATCCCCACCAATAATGTGATGACGTCACTTCAAATTTATGCATAGTAAATGGGTTTTAAATTGTATACAGTAACATAGTCCTACACATGTAGTTTACGTCTCCGTGTTGAGTTTTTATCCAAAACGTCCAAATTTTTGGAAAAAAAATCAAAATTATAAATCAAATATGCGCAAAATCAAATATCGGAAAAACTGAAATTCACTAATGCAAAAAACAGAAAATCGAAAAATACAAATCGTAAAAATCGAAAATCTAAAAATGGCTAATCAAAGAATTGAAAATTCAATGAATCAAATAGCTAGGTCGATCGAAAAGTGGAAATTCACAAACCTCAAAAATCGAAAAATCGAAAATTGAAAAACGGGAAAACCAAAAAATCGAAAAGTCAAAAATTTGTAATATTGAAAATTAAAAAAATCAAAAACAAAAATAAAAAAAATCGGAAATTAAAATAATCAAAATATATAAAGTAAAAAAAAATTGCAAAGCCTAAAAACTGAAACGAACAGAAAAATCGAAAAAACAAAAAATTGGAAAAACAAAAATTCGAAAAATCTAAAATCGAAAAAGTGGAAAATGGAAAATCTGAATAAAGAAACTTGAAATTTCTGAAAATTGGAAAATCGAAAACCAAAAAATCGGAAAGTAACAAAAGTGAAGTCTAACAGTTGAGAATGGAAAAATTGAAAAACCGAAAATTCTAAAAATCGACAATGGACAAATAGAAAATCGCAAAATTTAAATTGAAAAATTGAACATAGAAAAATCGATGAATTGAAAAATCGAAAATTCGACTACTCAAATTTTCTAAAACTCGAAAAATCATAAAACTGAAAAATCCAAAATTCTAATCATCGAAAGTCTGAAAACTGAAAATCGAAAATTCTGAAAAGCGGAAAATAGAATATCGAAAAATTTAAAAGAAAGAAAATTGAAGTCTAAAAACCGAAGAATGGAAAAATTAAAAATCAAAAATTCGAAAAATCAAAACCGAAAAATTCAAAGATTTAAAAAGAAAATCGAAAAATCAAGAATTTGAAAATTGAAACTCGAAAATTTGGAAAATCGTCAACTAAAAAATTTGAAGTCTAAAAGCTGAAAAATGGAAAACTGAACAATCGAAAATTCGAAAATCAAATATCGAAAAATCGAAAAGCCGAAAAATCGAAAATTTGATGAATCAGATATGCGAAAAACAGAAAATCTGAAAATACAAAACTGGAAAATCAAAAATCTAAAAATGGAAAAACCGTAAATCGAAAATTCAATGAATTTAATACGTAGGTCGATCGAAAAACTGGAAATTCACAAATCTGAAAAATCGAAAATTTGCAAGATTGAAAAACCGAGAATTGAAAAATCAAAAAACCGAAAAATGGAAAATTCAAAAATCGAAAAATAGGAAAACAGAAAATTCGAAAATTTATAATATTGAAAACTCTAAAAGTCGACAATTCAAAAATCGAAAAGTAAACAAATTTCAAAACCTAAAAAGTGACGAACAGAAAAATCGAAAACTCGTAAAATCATAAAGTGGAAAATCGAAAACTGGAAATTGAAAAATCGGAGATTGGAAGATCGAAAATCGAAATATCGAGAATCGACAAATTAAAAAACCGAAAAATCGAAAAATTAAAAAATCGGAAATCGAAAAATGAAAAAAAACGAAAATTCGAAAATCGAATAATCCGAAACTAAAATAATAGAAAAGTGGAAAAGTAAAAATTGCAAAGTCTAAAACTTACGAACAGAAAAATCGAAAAATTAAAAAAAATCGAAAAATATCTAAAAACGGAAAAATCGAAATGCCCAAAAATCGAAAATTCGATTAATCAATATTCTAAAAATCGAAAAAACGGACACAAATCCACAAATCTAAAAAATCGAAAATCGAAATATCGACACTCGAAAAATTAAAAAACCGAAAAATTGAAAAATCCGAAATCGAAAAATGAAAAAACCAAAAATTCAAAAATCAAACTATCGGAAGGTAAAATAATCGGAAAATGGAAAAATAAAACAAATCGCAGAACCATAAAAACTGAAACAAACAGAAAAATCGAAAAACCACAAAATCGGAAAAACGAAAATCGAAAAATCGCAAATCGAAAAATCGTAAAATCAGAAAATGGAAAATCGAATACTCGAAAATTGAAAAATCGAAGGTCGAAAAATAAAAAAACCGAAAAATCGAAAAATTTAATGATTAATGGAAAATCGAAAAATCGAGAATAGAAGAATTAAAAAACCGGAAAATTGAAAAATCGGAAATCGAAGAATTAAAAACGTAAAATCGAAAATTCAAAAATCAAAAAAATCGGAAAGTAAAATATGATCGAAAAATGCAAAAAAATTGCAGCAAAGTCTAAAAACTGACCAACAGAAAAATCAACAAATCGAAAAACGGAAAAACCGAAAACTCGAAAATTCAAAATACCGCAAATTTGAAAAATCAGAAAATGGGAAAGTAAAAAAATCGAAAAGTTGATAGAAAAATGGAAACTGAAAAATCTAATTAGATGAAACGGTTGGTCGAAAAAACGAAAAATCGAAAATCGAAGTGATCTTTTTTTGAGACAGCCTGTATAAGTAAATCTAAAAAATATTACTGCAATGATAAATCACAGGTACTGACTCATCATATCAAATTTTGCCATGACGTCATGCATTTTTTGGCAAAGATAAGCAAATACATTTTTCGACTTTCGTTCCATTTCAAAATTTACTCTTTGTATATTTCAGTGGTCACAACGAGTTCACTAACTACGCTGAAGTATGCAAAGATTAAATTTGTCACCGAAAAGATGTCGGAAGTAATAAATTATCCTATCGGTCGAAGAACGTTCGGTCCGGTGTTACACCTCGACCCAAGAGAGACCGCAGTAAAGGATAACAAATGGAACGGATAAAATAAAGCGTCAACCATGATTGATAAACTTTAAACCAAAATTATAAAGTTTATAAACTGAACATTTTTTTTTGTTTTTTGAAATGTAGTACACTTCAAAAAATGTCCGTGACTTCATTTAATGTGAATTTAATAACTATGGTTGGCACAATTAGACCTAATATTAGTGTGATTTTGAGCATATTCTCGATTTTATTAGAGCAGAATAGGTTTTTTTTTTCTAATTTTATAAGTTACGGAAACTAATAGCACATCACAGATATTGCAAAAAAAATTGGGCTCAGGTTCCAACTAATTGACAAGATTTCAAAGTATTCAGTTTGCAATTCTTGATTTCTTCAATAAAATAAATTTACTCAGTCATTATTTTTTTTGAGTCACCCTGTATGTATAAACGAATCCAAAAAATATAAATGGAATGATAAATCACAAGTATAGACTCATCATATTCTGAACATTTTAGATAGGGTATTTATAAAATTAAAACTAATTCAGAGTAAGAATTTGGTCAACACTTAAATTTTGTTGTAGTTTGAGCCTACCTACAAATTCTGCCCTTGGACGATTTGGACCGCTTCCTTCGGTGACGACCGGCAAAAATGATCCGCCCATAGGCTCAAAACATTTGCGTACGATTGTACAAACCTGTGTTAGAAATAAAACAAAATAAGAAAATTAACAGCAGTGTTTTCCAATCCAAGTGGAGAGGAAACAGATTTATACCTGTCAAGAAAGACTTAAGTGATGTTTTCCTGACCTACCAAAGGTGAAACTTGTTGATCTAGAACAAAATATCACTAAAATTTAGCTTGACAATTTTAAAAACCGCCATCTAGTAGCCGCGGACCGTCTTATTCCACCAAATTTGACAATAAAGTCCCTAGATTACCAGAATCTAGTGATTTTAATTGACAGATGGACCGAGCGACATCTCCCCATCCATTACCGCACTAACTTGTTAATCTCTTCCACATACCTCCATTTTTGGCAGTACCACCACCCCCCTTTGACCAATTCAACAAGGACGAGTTTAACGTGATTTTGAACCAGAGGAAGTACAACGACAACAAAATTTCTAAAACTAAAAGTAAGTTTATTTGTATTCACCTTCCGCCGCGAAAAATATCGGGCCAATTTGAGTTGCAAAATGTTGTTTTTTTGTTTTTCTACCATGTGGCGGCCTGTCAGCACCCCGTGCAGGTTGTAGTACATGTTTCTGTCGATCTCGGGTTGTCCGGACGCGATGCTCACTGATCCCTCGGTATCCTCTGTGGTGGATGCCATCCCCAAAGATTTTTTGTCTTTATCACTGTGCTCTAAATCTAAGTAATAAGAATAATAACTTTTATTAGCCCCATGTAACACAACGTAAACAGAGAGCAGTACCTGAGGCAAAACTGAACCACGATAGCGAAGAATGACGTCTTTTAGCAACGGCTATGTCTTCTGAAAGATTTATGCTAATGTCAGTACCCTGAGACAACAACGATACACTGCCAGATTTCCCTGATGATGCACCAATGCTCAGAGGCGGACTGAACGATTTTGTTCCAACAGTACTGATAGACGGAGTGTGCGATTTTGCTGTTGAATATCGACCACTCGCGAATTTTTGCATAGAAGTTAAGCTCACACTTTTCAGAGACAGCTCATCTAAAAAGGTGCTTTAGATAGAATACATGTTGTGGACAAATCTCCTTACTCGTTCCCTTTGATGTTGTTGTACTGTTTTGCTCAGACCCTTGCTCTGACTTTTCCAAACTATACACGGTTGGTTCTGGTGATCCCTCTTCAATAGGTAGCAGAGTGAACACCTCCTCTTTAGTCGATCCAGATTTTACAGAAAGACTTACGTGTCTGTCAGAGTGCGACTGCACTTCTGTTTGTTGGGATTTTCGGCTGTCGTCTGGTTGTTTCTCGGGCTCTGGTACTACATCCACTGAGGCAACAGTACCCTGTGATAGAAGACTTCGTTTTGGAAATGTGTCTGCCGCAGAATCTTGAGATGGAATACTACGTTTTGAAACTTTATCTGGGGATAGTATGTCAACAGTCCTTTGTGATAGAAAACTTAGTTTTGGAACATTGTCTGGCGACATTTCTATGTCAGCAGTCCTTTGTGATAGAATACTTAGTTTTGGAACTCCTCTTTCAGTAGTACCTTGTGATACAACACTTCGTTTTGAACCTTTGTCTGGCGACACTTCTATGTCGGCACTCCTTTGTGATAGAAAACTTAGTTTTGGAATCTTATCTGGCGACACTCCTATTTCAGTAGTACCTTGTGATACAACACTTCGTTTTGAAACTTTTTCTGGCGACATTTCTATGTCAGCACTCCTTTGTGATAGAAAACTTAGTTTTGGTATCTTGTCTGGCGACACTCCTATTTCAGTAGTACCTTGTGATACCACACTTCGTTTTGAAACTCTGTCTGGCGACACTCCTATTTCAGCAGTACCTTGTGATACAACGCTTCGTTTTGAAACTGTTGTAAAAGTAGCTTGTGACAGCAAACTTTGTGTTGGAGATCTTTGTGCCCCCGCTTCCGTTTGAAAGACATGGTCTTCTTTTTCAACCGCTTCCGCTTGTTCAGGTTCTGCAGAAACTTCTTGGTCCTCTGTTTCTGGTACTTCACCTTTTTCTTCCAAATTAGTAGCCTCTTCAGGTATAGTTTCCTCCGCCTGTTCGTATTCGGATATAGGTGCATTAATGGACACTTTTCTTTTAACTTTTATGTGGGGTTCATATGCAATTGAATCTCTTGGATCTTTTTCCTCCATGGTAACAATATTAGAAGAATTCTTGAGTCTGATTGACTTTGTTTTCTTCTATAGTTGTAAGAGCTTTTGGATTTTCGGATTTTTTCTTCAGGTTTGCAAGTTTTTGTTTTTTGGTTTTAAAGTAAGCTTCAGGGCTGTATAAAATCGCGGTCGGATGATTTAGACACTAAGCATTCGAAATTCAACGATACTCTAATCTATGTATCTATCTATCGAAATATATCACGAACTACGATAAACTACATCTACCTATATTGAATTAATGTTTACAATGTCACAATGACATTTGAAGTGGCATCCTACTCGATTTAGAAAATATCTAAAATGTTTAAACGTCGATTTATAAATTTGCCGTTGGATAGGGGTGGAGCTTAAATTTCGGCTTGTTTTTCTCTTAATATGTATAATATTCTTTCAAGAACACATGTTTTTCATTTCTTGCAAAGAGATAAGTAAAAGATTTTGCAGTTAAGCTCCGCCTTCTTGGCTCACGACGAATAAAAAAATCATCACAATAGAGATAGGGTGGGTGGGCGGGGCTTATATTTTGCCTTTTTTTCTTAATATCACTTCACAACAAGCAACTTAAAACATGTAAAAATGGTAAATTTGTATAGGGAAATATCGATTTTGAAATTATGCTCTGCCCCTCGGTCTGACAACCAATGAAAAATTCATCACGATTGAGATCGAGAGGGATGGGTGGGGCTTCTCTTTTGGTTTTCTTTTTTAATTAATACATTTAGTTTTCTTTGTATAACACAATTACATAAGAACATATTTCACGTGATAATTTCTCATAGAAAAATAAGGATTTTGCAGTTAAGCTCCGCCCCTCGGCTTACGACAAGTAAAGAAAAATCATCAGAATTGACGCAGGGCGGGTGGGTGGGGCATATATTTTGCTTTTTTCTTTTCTTAATATGCATAGCCATCTTTTCACAACAAGAAACTTAAAACATGGTTAAAATGGTACATTTTTGCAAGGAAATATGGATTTTTCAGTTATGCGGCGGAGACAAAATAAAAGCCCGCCCACCCGCCCTATGTCAATTGTGATGATTTTTTTATTCGCGGTGAACCAAGAGGGCGGAGCTTAACTGCAAAATACTTATTTCTTTACAAGAAATTAAAAACATGTTTTTGAATATCATGTTGTTCAAAGAAAATTTGAAACAAGTATTCGAAACATCAAAAAATTTAAAATTCGAAAAAGTAAAATATCGAAAGAATCGAGAAATAGAAAAATTTTAATTGTAAAAATCAAAAACTGGGGAATCGACAAACTGAAAAATCCCAAAACGTAAACATCAATTAAAAATGAAACGTCGAGAAATCGCAAAGTCGATAAATCGATAATTTAAAAAATCAAAACGTTGTTCAAATCAAAAACCTAGAAAATCGAAAAACTGAAAATTCGGAAATCGAGAAGTTCAAAAATCCAAATGTCGAAAAACGAAAAAATCGATTAAGCGAGAAATTAAGTAATCGAAAAACCGATAAACTAAATATATACGTCAAAAACTGAAAAATTTGAAAATCAAAAAATTGAGAATCTACGAACTGAAAAATCGTAAAAGTGAATCAATGGAAAATTGAAACATCGAAAAATGAAAAAATCGATCAATCGAAAATTTGAACAATGGAGAAACTGAAAAATCGAAAAGTCAAAAGCCGGGAAAATCAAAACACTGAAAATTCCAAAAATCGAGAAGTTGAAAAATGGAAAAATTAAAAAATTGATTAATCAAGAAATTGAAAAATCGTAAAATTTGAAAAAATCAAAAAGAAGGTTTTTGAAGAATAGAGAAATAGAATTGAAAGTCGAGATTTCAAAAAATCGAAAAATTGAAGGATAAAAGCACCGAAAAATCTCAAAATTGAAAAATCAAAAACCTGAGAAAACGAAAGTTCAAAAATCGAGAAATCCAAAATTTGAAAAATTGTTATATCTACATACAATTTTATTTTCCAAAATCTCAATGTTTACGATAAAAATTCAACGCGGATTCATAAACCACAAGTTAAGGACTATGTCACTTTCTAACACCGAAATAACATGACATCAATTCCTGTGAAGGGAACATGGACAGATAAATTTTGATTACCCTAAAACGTTTGCAAGATTCCAAAAGATTAGATTTGGCAATTTCTACTTTATAATGTAAAATCTTATACAATGTTAATATGATATTTTGCCTTTTTTTTTCCTTAATATACATAGCCATCTTTGCACAAGAAGAAACTTAAAACATGGTTAAAATAGTACATTTTTGCAAGGAAATATGGATTTTGCAATTATGGGGCGGAGCCAAAATGTAAGCCCGCCCACCCGCCCTATCTCAATTGTGATGATTTTTTTATTCGCGGTTAACCAAGAGGGCTTAACTGCAAAATAGTTGTTTCTTTACAAGAAATTAAAAATATGTTTTTGATTATCATGTTGTTCAAAGAAAAATCGAAACAAGGAATCGAAACATCAAAAAATTTAAAATTCGAAAAAGTAAAATATCGAAAAATTGAAGAATCGGGAAATAGAGACATTTTTAATTTTAAAAATTAAAAACTGGGGAATCGACAAATTGAAAAATCCTAAAACGTAAACAACAATTAAAAATGAAAAGTCGAGAAATCGCAAAGTCGATAAAACGAAAATTTAAAAAATCAAAAAATTGTTCAAATCAAAAACCTAGAAAATCGAAAAACTGAAAATTCGAAAAGTCGAGAAGTTCAAAAGAAACGAAAAAATCGATTAATCGAGAAATTGAGAAATCGAAAAACCGAAAACTAAATATGTACGTCAAAAATTGAAAAATTTGAAAATTAAAAAATTGAGAATCTACGAACTGAAAAATCGTAAAAGTGGATCAACGGAAAATTGAAACATCGAAAAGTGAAAAAATCGATAAACCAAAAAAATCGAGAAATCGAAAAATCGAAAAGTCAAAAACCGGGCAAATCGAAACACTGAAAATTCGAAAAATCGAAAAGTTGAAAAATGGAAAAATCAAAAATTGATTAATCGGGAAATTGAGAAATCGAAAAACCGAAAACTAAATATGTACGTCAAAAACTGAAAAATTTGAAAATCAAAAAAATTGAGAATCTACGAACTGAAAAAGCGTAAAAGTAAATCAATGGAAAATTGAAACATTGAAAAATGAAAAAATTGATAAATCGGAAAAATCGAGAAATCGAAAAATCTTAATTGTAAAAATTGAAAAACCAAAAACCAAAAAATCGAGAAATCGAAACATCGAAAATTTAAAAATCCAAAAAACAAAAATTCGGAAATTGAAAAATCAAGAATTCGAAAAACTTAAAAACGGAAAAAATTAAAAATCGAGAAATCGAAAAGTCAAAAACCTGGAAAATCGAAACACTGGAAATTCGAAAAATCGAGAAGTTGAAAAATGGAAAAACCAAAAAATCGATTAATCAAGAAATTGAAAAATCGTAAAGTTTGAAAATCGAAAAAGTGAGATATCGAAAATTAAAAAAATCAAGAAGATTTGAAGAATCGAGAAATAGAAGAATTGAAAATTGAGATCTCAAACAACCTGAAAAACGAAGGTTTAATAACCGAGAAATCGAAAATTCTAAAAATTGCTATACATATCTAGATTTTTTTTTCCAAAATCTAAAATAAAAATTCAACGCGGATTCATAAACCACAAGTTAAGGACTATGTTACTTTCTAACATTGAAATAACATGACATCATTCAAAGAATACTATGTACATTAAGGAAAAAAGGCAAAATATAAAAATATCATCACAATTGAGATAGGGCGGGTGGGTGGGGCTTATATTTTGCCCTTTTTTTAAATATACGTAATGATCTTTTTAAACAAGAAACTAAAAACAAGTTTAAAATGGTAAATTCTTGTGGACAAATATGAATCTTGCAATTACGCCCCGCCCCTCGACCTGACAACGAATGAAATATTCATCACAATTCTAGAATTGAGATCGGGGCGTGTATGGGTGGGGCCTAATCATCGGCTTTATTTTTTTCTTAATATACATAGTATTCTATGAACAACACAATACTCAAAAACATGTTTTTAACTTTCATAGAGAAATAAGAATTTTGCAATTAAGCTCCGCCTTCTTGGCTCACGATGAATAAAAAAATCATCACAATTGAGATAGGGCGGGTGGGTAGGGCTACATTTTGCCTTTTTTTCTTAATAAGCGTAGTCATCTTTTCACAACAAGCAACTTACAACATGTAAAAAATGGTAAATTTGTTTAGGGAAATATCGATTTTGCAATTACGCTCCACCTCTCGGTCTGACAACCAATGAAAAATTCATCACCATTGAGATCGAGAGGGATGGGTGGGGCTTCTCTTTTGGTTTTCTTTTTTAATTAATACATTTAGTTTTCTTTGTATAACACGATTACGTAAGAACATATTTGACGTGGTAATTTCTCATAGAAAAATAAGGATTTTGCAGTTAAGCTCCGCCCCTCGGCTTACGACAAGTAAAGAAAAATCGTCGGAATTGATGCAGGGCGGATGGGTGGGGCATGTATTTTGCCTTTTTTTTTTTCTTAATATGCATAGCCATCTTTTCACAACAAGAAACTTAAAACATGGTTAAAATGGTACATTTTTGCAAGGAAATATGGATTTTTCAATTATGGGGCGGAGGCAAAATAAAAGCCCGCCCACCCGCCCTATCTCAATTGTGATGATTTTTTTATTCGCGGTTAATCAAGAGGGCGGAGCTTAACTGCAAAATACTTATTTCTTTACAAGAAATTAAAAATATGTTTTTGATTATCATGTTGTTCAAAGAAAAATCGAAACAAGGAATCGAAACATCAAAAAATTTAAAATTCGAAAAAGTAAAATATCGAAAAATCGAAGAATCGAGAAATAGAAAAATTTTTAATTATAAAATTCAAAAAGTGAGGAATTGTCAAATTGAAAAACCCCAAAAGTTACACATCGATTAAAAATGAAAAGTCGAGAAATGGAAAAGGCGATAAATCGAAAATTTAAAACAAACAAATGGTGGAAATGGAAGTTCAAAAGTGGAAATGTCGAAAAATGAAAAAATCGAGAAATCGAAAAATTTTGAATTTTCAAACTTGGAAAATCAAAAACCAAAAAAAACTGAGAAATCGAAACAGAAAGATTGAAAAATCTAAAATTTCAAAATCCAAAAAATAAAAAATTCGGAACTTGAAAAATCTAGAATTCGAAAAATTTTAAAATAGAAAAAATGAATCGAAAAATTGAAAAATTTCAGAACTGAAACATCGAAAAAATTAAAAATCGAGAAATCGAAAAGTCAAAAACCTGGAAATTCGAAAAATCGGGAAATGGAAAAACCAAAAAATCGATTAATCGAGAAATTGAAAAATCGTCAAATTTGAAAATCGAAAAAGTGAGATATCTACAATTAAAAAAATCAAGAACATTTGAAGAATCGAGAAATAGAAGAATTGAAAATTGAGATCTCAAACAACCTGAAAAAACGAAAGTTTAATAATCGAGAAATCGAAAATTCTAAAAATTGCTGTACATATCTACAATTTTATTTTTTTTTCCAAAATCTAAAATAAAAATTAAACGCGGATTCATAAACCACAAGTTAGGGACTATGTTACTTTCTAACATTGAAATAACATGACATCATTCAAAGAATACTATGTACATTAAGGAAAAAAGGCAAAATATAAAAATATCATCACAATTGAGATAGGGCGGGTGGGTGGGGCTTATATTTTGCCCTTTTTTAAAATATACGTAGTGATCTTTTTAGAACAAGAAACTAAAAACATGTTTAAAATGGTAAATTCTTGTGGACAAATATGAATATTGCAATTCAGCCCCGCCTCTCGATCTGACACAAAATTCAACACAATTGAGAATTGAGATCGGGGCGGGTACGGGCGGTGCCTAATCTTTGGCTTTATTTTTTTCTAAATATACATAGTATTTCTTGAACAATACGATACTGAAAAATCATTTAAATTTGTTACGTCAACGTATACGTTTTTCAATTTTGGGTGTAGGCAACCAACAATACAACCATGTTTTCACTAAAGTACATAGTTCGGACGTTTGACACAATGTTATAACTTGTACAGTGGTTCAAACTAGTTTAATGTGGACTAATTTTATATCCCGTTAGTACTCATATGTTCTTTGTAGTTTATATAATTTATTTTTTATCCATAAAATTAGAATTAATAAAGAATAACAAACTTTCACTAAAAAATATTATCAACGTTGGCTATCGGTTTATAATTATAATATACGACCACTATCACAGACAACTTTTATGGCCCCTGCATATCACTGTTAACTACGTCATCGAGACAAGCGCTGCTCAGAATTAACCTTGACCTAATCACCGTGTTGGCAAAATGGTCCAGTACTATGCAATTATGTAGAAATATTTCTTAGATCCGGTATGGATCCAGTGACCTGTGAAATTTAAAAAAGTGGCAGATTTGCCACTTCTGTGTAATGATAGACAGTTTTATTAAAGTTTTTATTAAGATGGTCAACATGTCTGTCACAATACTGTTTAAGCAATTTTCGTTGCTATGGAGATGGTTAGAACAGTACTATCAGTGGTATTCTAGTAATATTTATCATAGCTACACACTCCGAAAGAGGCGGAACAAATCAATGCCCACTTGGATGTTAGAACCATTCATGAAAATCCTCTATAATTCCACTACCATAATTAAAAAAAATATATATGCAGACATCCAGGTCCTGTATAAATTTTACCTGCAACAATAATCACCATCTTTGTCTCGTCGTTTTTCACCTAATACCCAAGAATCCCACTAATCCCAGCCCCCTTCCATCCTTATCATCATCACAATCGCAAAACATTCGCCGCCTCGTTAATAACCCCAGATCGAGCAAAAGTCTTCGACCTGAATGGCATTTCATCCAGTCGGCTGGTCGCAGCGTTGCAAACCGGACTGCAGCGAAGAAACCTCCCGAAGTGCAGTGCGCCGCCCCTCCTCGCCCCCGTGCCCCCAGCAGACGCCGCAAGGTGAAAATCGCCGCGCCCGCGAAAAGCCCGCTTTTCATGTGCGCGTTGAGGTTATGTTTTTTGTTTTTCGGAAAATGCGGAACGTCAGCGGGCCCAAAATGGCCGCCGCGAAGCGGGCTTTTCGCGAAAACGCTGACGTCACGCGATGCACAAAAGTGCATCGGTTGCGTTTGCCAAGAAGGCCGAAAATGGTGGCAAAAACTGCGCGATTTCGGGTTGACCTTCGTCGTGTCGAGGAAGAGAAATTCTAGGTAGTTTTAAGTGTGCATAATTGGCTTAATTTCGTGACGCGTGTTGTTGAGAAACGTCTTTCCGGATGAATTTTAATTTAAGTGTTCGGGTAAAAGTCTGCGAAAGATGTTGTAGAAAGTGGCGGTTGCTAATTCCGTCGTGATTTCGAAATGCGATAAAGATGTGTGAGAAGGAGGAGGAACGTCTTGACAAACATAACTGTTGCATATGTTAATTAGGTTGAATGTCACGGTCGTCACACAATGGACGGGACATTGTTTGGCGATTTTCGTGGTTTGTTTTGATTGTTGAAGCGTTGTAGACACTTCCGTTTTTGACTTTTGTACGAACAGTTGGTACTAGTGTTTTTGGTATAGTCGTTTGTTTTTATTCGTTAACTATGTCAAAATATAGGGTAACTAGATCAGAGTGAGTTTCCTTCACTCCGTACTCCACGTAACCCATTTTTTTATTTTTGTATGTTTACGTTGCACCACAAACTGACCCACGTTTATTTTTCTACGGTAAGTTGTAAGTTCGTTCAAGCATTTTTAACGTGCGCCTTAGTATAATAAATGAGGTGAAAAGCGTCAAACCAGTTCGTGATTGGCTAGTTTTTTGTTTCGCGTCATGTGTCATGTGTTGCCACATAAATAACAAAGGAATATTTACTTTATTATAAAGTTAAATGGCACTAAAAATCCTTTTATCAGAATTTAATCATTAAACGCAAATTAAAAATTTTAAAATGCTTTGTGTTGGTTCATTTTATGTGACAAACATTATGTCGTGATTTTTTCGTTACCGACATTATACGCAGATCGTTATTTTTGTATCCACTAAATTGTAATGAAGATTTTCGTGAATATGGTCATACTCTATTCAAAAGTTTTTTCTTTTGAAATAATCTCAGAGGTGCCAAATGTGTTTCATTTTTTTAATATGTGAAATAAATAATCTTCGGAGCTGCTTGTCTTTACCAATTTAGGCATGTTTTAAGTTTGTTGTGGCCGAAATTAAGTCTACACATATTAAGAAACTAAGGCAAAATGTAGCCCCGCCCACCCGCCCTATCTCAATTGTGATGAATTTTTTTATTCGTCGTGAGCCAAGAAGGCGGAGATTAACTGCAAAATCCTTGCTTCTCTACGAGAAATTAAAAACATGTTTTGAGCAAGTATCGTATTGTTCAAAGAATACTATCTCAATTCTCAATTGTGATGAATTTTTCATTCGTTGTCAGATCGAGGGGCGGAGCTTAATTGCAAGATTCGTATTGGTGTACAAGAATTTACCATTTGAGACATGTTTTTAGTTTCTTGTTCTAAAAAGATCATTACGTATATTTACAAAAAAAGCAAAATATAAGCCCCACCCACCCGCCCTATCTCAATTGTGATGATTTTTGTTTGCCTTTTTTCCTTAATGTACATGGTATTCTTTGAATGATGTCATGTTATTTAATTGTTAGAAAGTGGCATAGTCCTTAACTTGTGGTTTATGAATCCGCGTTGAATTTTTATCGTAAACATCGTGATTTTGGAAAAAAAATAAAATTGTAGATATGTATAGCAATTTTTTTCGAATTTTCGATTTTTCAACTTTGGTTTTTTCAGGTTTTTGTTATTTCAGTGTTTTTATTCTTCAATTTTTCGATTATTTGAGATCTCGCTTTTCAATTCTTCTATTTCTTGATTCTTCAAATCTTCTTCTTGATTTTTTTTAATTTTCAAATTTTACAATTTTTCCATTTTTTCAACTTCTCAATTTTTGGAATTTTCAGTGTTTCGATTTTCCAGGTTTTTGACTTTTCGATTTCTCGATTTTTAATTTTTTCGATGTTTCAGTTCTGTAATTTTTCAATTTTTCGATTCATTTTTTCAATTTTTAAATTTTTCGAATTCTCGATTTTTCAAGTTCTGTATTTTTATTTGTTTGGAATTTGAAATTTTAGATTTTTCAATTTTTCTGTTTCGATTTCTCAATTTTTTTGGTTTTGGTTTTTCAATTTTTAAAATTCCAAATTTTTCGATTTCTCGATTTTTTCATTTTCGATGTTTTACTTTTACGATTTTTCAGTTCGTAGACTTCAATTTTTTGATTTTCAAATTTTTCAGTTTTTGACGTACATATTTAGTTTTGGGTTTTTCGATTTCTCAATTTCTCGATTAGTCGATTTTTTCATTTTTCGACATTTCTATTTTTGAACTTCTCTTTCCACCTTTTTTTTTTGGTTTAAATTTTTGATTTATCGTCTTTTCCATTTCTCGACTTTTCATTTTTAATTGATGTTAAACTTTTGGGATTTTTCTATTTTTCTATTCATTTTTTCTATTTAAAATTTTTCGGATTCTCGCTTTTTCAAGTTCCGATTTTTTTATCTTTTGGATTTTGAAATTTTAGATTTTTCAATTTTTCTGTTTCTATTTCTCAATTTTTTTGGTTTTTGATTTTCCAATTTTTAAAATTCAACATTTTTCGATTTCTCGATTTTTTCATTTTTCGATGTTTCACTTTTACGATTTTTCAGTTCGTAGACTTCAATTTTTTGATTTTCAAATTTTTCAGTTTTTGATGTACATAAATAGTTTTCGGTTTTTCGATTTTTCTATTTCTCGATTAGTCGTTTTTTTCATTTTTCGACATTTCCATTTTTGAACTTCACTTTCCACCTTTTTTTTGGTTTAAATTTTTGATTTATCGTCTTTTCCATTTCTCGACTTTTCATTTTTAATTGATGTTTAACTTTTGGGATTTTTATATTTTTCGATTCATTTTTTCTATTTAAAATTTTTCGGATTCTCGCTTTTTCAAGTTCCGATTTTTTTATCTTTTGGATTTTGAAATTTTAGATTTTTCAATTTTTCTGTTTCTATTTCTCAATTTTTTTGGTTTTTGATTTTCCAATTTTTAAAATTCAAAACTTTTCGATTTCTCGATTTTTTCATTTTTCGATGTTTCACTTTTACGATTTTTCAGTTCGTAGACTTCAATTTTTTGATTTTCAAATTTTTCAGTTTTTGACGTACATATAGTTTTCGGTTTTTCGATTTCTCAATTTCTCGATTAGTCGATTTTTTAATTTTTCGACATTTCCATTTTTGAACTTCTCTTTCCACCATTTTTTTGTTTTAAATTTTTGGTTTATCGTCTTTTCCATCTCTCGACTTTTCATTTTTAATTGATGTTTAACTTTTGGGATTTTTATATTTTTCGATTCATTTTTTCTATTTAAAATTTTTCGGATTCTCGCTTTTTCAGGTTCCCATTTTTTTATCTTTTGGATTTTGAAATTTTAGATTTTTCAATTTTTCTGTTTCTATTTCTCAATTTTTTTGGTTTTTGATTTTCCAATTTTTAAAATTCAAAACTTTTCGATTTCTCGATTTTTTCATTTTTCGATGTTTCACTTTTACGATTTTTCAGTTCGTAGACTTCAATTTTTTGATTTTCAAATTTTTCAGTTTTTGACGTACATATAGTTTTCGGTTTTTCGATTTCTCAATTTCTCGATTAGTCGATTTTTTCATTATTCGACATTTCTATTTTTGAACTTCTCTTTCCACCTTTTTTTTGGTTTAAATTTTTGATTTATCGTCTTTTCCATTTCTCGAATTTTCATTTTTAATTGATGTTTAACTTTTGGGATTTTTATATTTTTCGATTCATTTTTTCTATTTAAAATTTTTCGGATTCTCGCTTTTTCAAGTTCCGATTTTTTTATCTTTTGGATTTTGAAATTTTAGATTTTTCAATTTTTCTGTTTCTATTTCTCAATTTTTTTGGTTTTTGATTTTCCAATTTTTAAAATTCAAAATTTTTCGATTTCTCGATTTTTTCATTTTTCGATGTTTCACTTTTAAGATTTTTCAGTTCGTAGACTTCAATTTTTTGATTTTCAATTTTTTCAGTTTTTGACGTACATATATAGTTTTCGGTTTTTCGATTTCTCAATTTCTCGATTAGTCGATTTTTTCATTTTTGAACTTCTCTTTCGACCTTTTTTTTGCTTTATATTTTTATTTATCGTCTTTTCCATTTCTCGACTTTTCATTTTTAATTGATGTTTAACTTTTGGGATTTTTCTATTTTTCGATTCATTTTTTCTATTTAAAATTTTTCGGATTCTCGCTTTTTCATGTTCCGATTTTTTTATCTTTTGGATTTTGAAATTTTAGATTTATCCATTTTCTATTTCTATTTCTCAATTTTTTTGGTTTTTGATTTTCCAATTTTTAAAATTCAAAATTTTTTGATTTCTCGATTTTTTCATTTTTCGATGTTTCACTTTTACGATTTTTCAGTTCGTAGACTTCAATTTTTTGATTTTCAAATTTTTCAGTTTTTGACGTACATATAGTTTTCGGTTTTTCGATTTCTCAATTTCTCGATTAGTCGATTTTTTCATTTTTCGACATTTCCATTTTTGAACTTCTGTTTCCACCTTTTTTTGGTTTAAATTTTCGATTTATCGTCTTTTCCATTTCTCGACTTTTCATTTTTAATTGATGTTTAATTTTTGGGATTTTTCAATTTGTCGATCCCTCACTTTTTGATTTTTAAAATTAAAATTTTTTCTATTTCTCGATTCTTCAATTTTTGGATATTTTAAATTTTAGATCATTAAATTTTTCGATGCCCTGTGTCGATTTTTCTTTGAACAACATGATATTCGAAAGCATGTTTTTAATTTCTTGTAAAGAACTAGGTATTTTGCAGTTAAGCTCCTCCCTCTTGGTTCACCGCGAATAAAAAAATCATCACAATTGAGATAGGGCGGGTGGGCGGGCTTAATTTTGCCTCCGCCCCATAATTGCAAAATCCATATTTCCTTGCAAAAATGTACCATTTTAACCATGTTTTAAGTTTTTTGTTTTTCGAATTTTGGATTTCTCGATTTTTCAACTTTCGTTTTCTCAGGTTTTTGATTTTTCAATTTTGAGATTTTTCAGTGTTTTTATCCTTCAATTTTTCTATTTTTGAGATCTCGATTTTCAATTCTTCTATTTCTCGATTCTTCAAAATCTTCTTGATTTTTTCAAATTTTGCGATTTTTCAATTTCTCGATTAATCAATTTTTGATTTTTTCATTTTTCGGCTTCTCGATTTTTCGAATTTTCAATGTTTCGATTTTCCAGGTTTTTGACTTTTCGATTTCTCGATTGTTAATTTTTTCTATTTTTAAGTTTGTGGAATTCTTAATTTTTCAATTTCGGAATTTTTATTTTTTGGATTTTTAAATTTTAAATTTTTAAATTTTTCGATATTTCGATCTCTCGATTTTTTGGTTTTTGGTTTTTCAATTTTTAAAATTAAAAATTTTTCGATTTCTCGAATTTTTAGTTTCTCCATTGTTCAAATTTTCGATTTATCGATTTTTCATTTTTGATATTTTAAGTTTCCATTGATTCACTTTTACGATTTTTTAGTTCGTAGATTCTCAATTTTTTTATTTTCAAATTTTTCAGTTTTTGACGTAAATATTTAGGTTTCGATTTTTCTAATTTTCAGTTTTTCGATTTTCTAGGTTTTTGATTTGAACAATTTTTGGTTTTTTAAATTTTCGATTTATCGACTTTGCGATTTCTCGACTTTTCATTTTTAATTGATGTTTACGTTTTGGGATTTTTGAATTTGTCGATTCCCCAGTTTTTGATTTTTTAAATTAAAAAATTTTCAATTTCTCGATTCTTCAATTTTTCGATATTTTACTTTTTCGAATTTTAAATTTTTTGATGTTTCGATTCCTTGTTTCGATTTTTCTTTGAACAACATGATATTCAAAAACATGTTTTTAATTTCTTGTAAAGAAATAAGTATTTTGCAGTTAAGCTCCGCCCTCTTGATGCACCGCGAATAAAAAGATCATCACAATTGAGATAGGGCGGGTGGGCGGGCTTACATTTTGCCTCCGCCCCATAATTGCCAAATCCATATTTCAAAATGTACCATTTTGACCATGTTTTAAGTTTCTTGTGGTTTATGAATCCGCGTTGAATTTTAATCGTAAACATTGATATTTTGGAAAATAAAATTGTAGATATAACAATTTTTCGAATTTTGGATTTCTCGATTTTTCAACTTTCGTTTTCTCAGGTTTTTGATTTTTCAATTTTGAGATTTTTCAGTGTTTTTATCCTTTAATTTTTCATCTTGATTTTTTCAAATTTTACGATTTTTCAATTTTTCGATTAATCAAATTTTTCGATTAATCAAATTTTTGATTTTTTCATTTTTCGACTTCCCGATTTTTCGGATTTTCAGTGTTTCGATTTTCCAGGTCTTTGACTTTTTCATTTCTCGATTTTTAATTTTTTCTGTTTTTAAGTTTTTCGAATTCTTGATTTTTCAATTTCTAAATTTTTATTTTTTGGATTTTTAAATTTTAGATTTTTAAATTTTTCGACGTTTCGATTTCTCGATTTTTCAGTTTCTCCATTGTTCAAATTTTCGATTTATCGATTTTTTTCATTTTTCGATGTTTCGATTTTCCATTGATTCACTTTTACGATTTTTCGGTTCGTTGATTCTCAATTTTTTGATTTTCAAAATTTTCAATTTCATATAAAATCCGATTTTTCAGTTTCTCAATTTCTTAATTTCTCGATGAATCGATTTTTTCGTCTTTTATTTTTGAAAGAGTTTGAAAGAGTTCCAGAAGTCCCAAATATGTGTTTTTTGTAATAATCTTCGGAACTCCCTGTCTTTTTTATTTTATTTTTAGGAAGTTTAAAAAACCTCTTCGACCTCTTATTTCGATATTTCAGTTTTGGGATTTTTCAGTGTTTTTGTTTCTCAATTTTTTGATTTTTGGATTTCTCGATTTTCAATTCTTCTATTTCTCTATTCTACAAATTTTTGTTTTCTCAATTTTTTCATTCTTCGATGTCTGATTTTTCCGATGATTCAGTTTTACGATTTTTCAGTTCGTAGATTCTGTAATTTTTCGATTTCAAATTTTTCAGTTTCATATGAATTTACGATTTTTCAGTTTCTCAATTTTTTCATTTCTCGATGAATCGATTTTTTCGTCTTTTATTTTTGAAAGAGTTTGAAAGAGTCCCAGAGGTCCAAATGTTTTTTTTTTTTAATAATCTTATGAACTGTGTCTTTTTTATTTTTTTAGGAAGTTGAAAAAACCCCCGCGTCCTCTGGTCTTTTCTTTTTGATAAATTTTGAGAACCCCTGGTGTTTCTTTTATTTATTTCGTTTTTTGAAGTTGAAAAAACCTCGTCGACCTCTGATATTTTCCTTTTGACAAATTTTGAGAACGCCTGGTGTTCCAAATGTGTGTTTTTTTTTTTAATAATCGTGGGAACTTTTATTATTTTTTTAGGAAGTGGAAAAAATATCGCCACCCTCTGATCTTTTCGTTTTGATAGATTTTGAAAACCTCTGATGTTTCTTTTATTTCTTTTTTTGTAGTTGAAGAAAAAAAAAATAAAATGTAGATATAGCAATTTTTCGATTTTTCAACTCTTGATTTCTCATTTTTTCGATTTTGAATTCTTCTATTTCTCGATTCTTAAAATTTTTGTTTTCTCGATTTTTTCATTCTTCGATGCCTCAGTTTGTTTCAGTTTTACGATTTTTCAGTTCGTAGATTCCTTAATTTTTCGATTTTCAAATGTTTCAATTTCATATAAATTTTCGATTTTTCAGTTTCTCAATTTCTTAGTTTCTCTATGAATCGATTTTTTCGTCTTTTATTTTTGAAAGAGTTTGAAAGAGTCTCAGAGGTCCCAAATATATATTTTTTAATAATCTTAGGAACTCCTTGTCTTTTATTTTTTAGGAAGTTGTAAAAACCCCCGCGCCCTCTGGTCTTTTCTTTTTGATAAATTTTGAGAACCCCTGGTATTTCTTTTATTAATTATGTTTTTTGAATTTGAAAAAACCTCGTCGACCCCTGAGATTTTCTATTTGACAAATTTTGAGAACGCCTGGTGTTCCAAATGTGTGTTTTTTTTTAATAATCGTGAGAATTTTTATTTTTTTTTTTAGAAAGTGGAAAAATATCGCCACCCTCTGATCTTTTCGTTTTGATAGATTTTGAAAACCTCTGATGTTTCTTTTGTTTATTTCCTTTTTTGTAGTCGAAGAAAAAAAAAAAATGTAGATATGGCAATTTTTCGATTTTTCAACTCTTGATTTCTCAATTTTTCAATATTTTAGTTTGTTTTTATTCTTCAATTTTTCGATTTTCAATTCTTCTATTTCTCGATTCTTCAAATTTTTGCTTTCTCGATTTTTTCATTCATCGATGCCTCAGTTGTTTCAGTTTTACGATTTTTCGGTAGATTCTTTAATTTTTCGATTTTCAAAATTTTCAATTTAATCTAAATTTTCGATTTTTCAGTTTCTCAATTTCTTAGTTTCTCGATGAATCGATTTTTTGTCTTTTATTTTTGAAAGAGTTTGAAAGAGTCTCAGAGGTCCCAAATATGTTTTTTAATAATCTTCGGAACTCCTCTCAACATTTATTAGTTTTTGAGTTTGTAAAAATACAACCTTGAATATAATTTTTTAAATTCCCATGACATCGCCTCCCGAGTACGCTGATTAGTGATTATTTTGACCACACTTTTATTACTTATTAATATTTATAAAGTTCGCAAAATTTTGAGTCGCTGGAAGTAATTCAATTCTGATTCATTTGAAGCCCGTTTCACCCGACACTAATTCTAGTGACACGACTTACACTAACTAAACACAAAAAAGATCAAATCTTTGGCAGTTTTCCCTGTTTCTATGGTACAAGTCTAGACTCGCGTTTAAATTTAGGTATTGTCAAAGTAGCCCAAGAATCCAAAACGATCATTCCATTTGAAAACTGCACCCGTTTGTGTGGAAAATTGGGAAATCCAATTCGTGAAATCATGTTGACGCGATTTTGACATTCGAGATTTTATCTGCACAGAAAAACATATTTGTTTGTATTTTATAATTCGTAAACATTTCTAAATAGGACATTGATTTAATTTACAAACTGGCAAATGAGTCAAAAAGTCACCAGAAAACTAGATGCACACTTTTTATAAAGCGGCACCGTCGAATTTGAGCGGTTTGATTGGTCGGTCAGTGACTCAGGGGGAAATCCATAGCAACCTAACTAGAATAACTTTCAGAAGGTTGCATTACAAAATCTCTGCACAACAATTACGTAAAAGCGTTATCTTTGAATTAATTATTATCGCTGCGTCCGTTGACAACTGGTAATTTTTTCTAATAATAATTATACACGTGATTAGAAATATCAAATTCTTTTCTAAATTTAGAACTACGATTTTTGTTTGTAAATTCTTAATTTCATTGTTCGTATTTACGCAATTAGTATAAAATTATTGTTATTCGACTTTACAACTTAATTGAATTTTTTATAGCATTTTTACATTTATTACTCGATATCGCTGTATTAAAACCCAATAACTACCCACGATAAGTCCGCGAATTTTTTTATTGACGTCCACCTCCGCCAATTAAATGAAATTATTTACCCACCACTTAGCACGTTTCCCAATTCTCCCCTACTTATCGCGCTGCTCCTAATCATCCCCACTTGCCGCCTCCAAGTAAACAATACTTCGACTTCGGAGCTCGTGATTCACCCATAAAATAAAATTTCCACGGGCTGACCCTGATAGAGATACCATTCGAAGAATTCGTCGATAATTATCGCTAATTTTTATTTTTCCGAACAGATGCTCCGAGTGGAAAGTAACACCCAGCTCGCAGGGTTCACCGAGTTCGAGGAGGACATCCTCTTCGACCAGGACGACCCGGACTTCGACGGGGTGACTTCCTTGTCGGCCGTGCCTGTCATGCTCAAAGGTGAGTGGCTAATAACAATAACTGTTATAATAACGACTGCGGATTTATGGTAATGAGTTTTGCATGTCTCCGAGATAAGCTTTCGTTCGATTGGGTCGAAGTTCGCTACAAAAATCATCAGTTTGACTGATCAAAAATTTCTACATTGCTATAATTTTTTTTCGTGGGAGATTACGACCGTTCATTGTTATTCGATTATTACTTTTTCAGTAATTGGTCCATTATGTCGTCATTCCGGTACAGGGAAAACAATAACAATAAAAGCGAATTTTTCGAATGTCTGCGAGATAAAGTTTGGGTTTATCGTGGTCTTATCTCGATTTTGAAAATTTTATAGCCGGAAAGTTCGTATGCATGCAGGAACGTGGATTACTAATGGAATAGTTGAACTTGAAATCGTGGCGGAAAAAGCCAGCAGATAGAGAATAGTTTGTGTTATCTGGACGATGTGTACAGTCCGGAGTTTATAACTCTGTGGAGATAATAATTAATGATTTATTATTATTTCAATTTGAGAAAAAATGTCGCCTCATTTTAGCTCTGTCATATTTATTGCGGCTAATAAAGAACAACATTTACTCAGCAAAATTTCGAGGTGACGTCACCAACTTTTTGGGGGGGATAGACAGACCTAATTTGACTAAGTCTAAAAAGTCGTACTAATCGGTCCAGTAATTTCGGAGATTATCGATCTTAACAATTATCAACAGACTGCAGTTATTATTTTCTTGCAAAAGATTGTGAATAGCACCTCCATAATTCTCGTCTGATGGTTTTATATCGGATTCGCGCTATATTTGGCCACTTGATAAGCGAGCAGGACTTATAGCTAATACCTATATAATGACCGATCATTATTTAAAATCCCTTCTGATGTGAAGGTGTTTACAGATACATAGATAACAACAAGTGCAGATAAACTGTTGTTATAAGATTATTATTTATGTTTATGTTTGTGCAAGTGTTAAATCCGGCGCAGAATTTGTAATCTTTTGTTAATTTTACTAATCGCAATTGTGTCAGAATAAGATATGTTAATTTGTATCGAGTCTAAAGCACTATATTAAGTGCGCAGATTCAAATCAGTATCAGTATCAGTGCTTTTATATATGATTGTGTTACTTTTTTTTCTAAAACAATTCGTCAATTCGGTGACTCACGATAGACAGTCATCTGATGACCTCCGGTTATGGTTCCAAGGACCCGCATCTACTTGATTTTATCTTTTTAGTCAAGTGATAAGATAATCGTGATAGTGTCAAATTTGCATGTCGTCGAAAATAATATTTGCTTGTTTTCGAATTTTCGATTTCTCGATTTTTCAACTTTCGTTTTCTCAGTTTTGAGAATTTTTAGTGTTTTTATTGTTCAATTTTTCGATTTTTTGAGATCTCGATTTTAAATTCTTCTGTGTCGATTCTTCGAATCTTCTTGATTTTTTCATTTTTCGATGTCAGTTTTTCGATTTTCAAATTATACGGTTTTGCAATTTCCCGATTAATCGATTTTTTGGATTTTTAAATTTTAGATTTTTTATTTTTCGATGTTTCGATTTCTCGATTGTTCATTTTACTGATTTTTCAATTTTTTGGGTTTTGATTTTTCAATTTTTAAAATTTAAAATTTTTTGATTTCTCGATTTTTTCATTTTTCGGTGGTTTTACGATTTTTCAGTTCGTAGATTATTCAATTTTTTGATTTTCAAATTTTTCAGTTTTCGGTTTTTCGATTTCTCAGTTTCTCGATTAATCGATTTTTGATTTTTCCATTTGTTGACTTCCGGTTTTTCAGTGATTTTTCCATTTTCAATTTTTGGACTTCTTGATTTTTTTTCAATTTCTCGATTAATCGATTTTTTTGTTTTTCGATATTTCGATTTTTCGATTTGCTATGTTTTTGATTGCAACAATTTTTTGATTTTTGAAATTTTCGATTTATCGACTTTTCCATTTTTTCGACTTTTCATTTTTTATTGATGTTTAAGTTTTGGGGTTTTTCAATTTGGCGATTCCTCAGTTTTTCTATTTAAAATTTTTCGGTTTTTGATTTTTAAAATTAAAAATTTAGCTATTTCTGGATTCTGCATTTTTCGATATTTACTTTTTCGAATTTTAAATTTTAGATCATTAAATTGTTTGATGTTTCGATTTTTGGACTTTTTGGTTTTAAATTTTTCGGTCTTTCAATTTTTCGATTTTTAAAGTTTTTAAGTTTTCAATTTTCCGATTGTTCAGTTTCACGCTTTTCCATTTTTTTTTATTTTTCGATTTTTTATTTCAAATTTCTCAATTTTTCGAATTTTGGACTTTCCGACTGTTCGATTTCTCGACGCTTCGTTTCTCAATGTTCCGATTTTTCAACTTCTCCATTTTTTTTATTTTAAATTTTTCGATTATGTACTCGGTTTTTCAATTTTTCGACTCTTCGGCTTTCCAACTTTTCAAATTTTCAATTTCTTGGTTTATCGAGATTTCGATTTTATGATTGTTCATTTTCTCGATTTTTCGATTTCTCAATTTCTCCATTAATCGGTTTTTTGGTATTTCGATTTCTCGAATTTTCAGGATTTAGTTCAAGTTTTCGATTTTTCAATTTTTCGATTTTTTAAATTTTCGATTTTTCGACTTCATTTTTTCGTTTTCGATTTTTCCACATTTTAATTTCTCGATTTTTAATTATTTCGGCGTTTCAGTTTAGGATTTTTCAATTTTTGGATTCTTCGATTTTTCAAATTTTCGGTATTTTAGTTATGCGATTTTTCAAATATTTAGATTATTAAATTTTTTCATGTTTTCGATTTTTCAATTTTTTGAATTTTCAATTTTTCGACTTTTTGATTTTCTGACTTTTCAATTTCTCAATCTTTCGATTAATCGATTTTTTTTGAGTTGACAGTTTTTCGATTTTTTTAACTTCGATTTTCCGACTTTCCGATTTCTCGATTCTTCATTTTTTCGATTCTTCAGTTTTTCTTCGATTTTTCAGATTTTCAAAATTTAAGTTTCGGGATTTTTTAATTTTTCGATTTCTGTATTTTTTACTTTTTCAATTTTGTGATTCTTTAATTTTTCAATTTTTTAATTTTTAATTTTCCCCATTTTGATGTTTCGTTTCTCGATGTATCAGTTTTTCAATTTTTCGACTTTTTGATATTCAATTTTTCGGATTTTTTTTAATTTTAAATTTTTCGATTTCTCAATTTCTTGATTAGTCGATTTTTTCGATTTTTCGAATTTTCTGTTTTGCAATTCAATTTTTTGATTTTTCAATTTTTGACGTATATATTTTTCGATTTCTCAATTTCTCGATTAGTCGATTTTTTTATTTTTTTCATTTCTCAACTTATCGATTTTTCTAATTTACAGTTTTTCGATTTTTCGATTTCTCAATTTTCAATTTTTTTTTGTTTCCGTTTTGGGATTTTAAACTTTTTCGATTCCCCAGTTTTTCCATTTTTCAATTTTTCGAATTTTGGATTTTTCAATTTCTGAATGTTTTACTTTTTCGATTTTTTGATGTTTCGATTTCTCAATTGTTCAATTTATTAGTTCTTCAATTTTTCGGTTTTTGATTTTTCAATTTTTAAAATTAAACATTTTTCTATTTCTCGATTTTGAGTTTCTCGAGTCTTCAATTTTTCGATATTTTACTTTTTCGAATTTTAAATTTTAGATCATTAAATTTTTTGATGTTTCGATTTTTTGACTTCTCGCTTTAGATTTTTCGGTTTTTAAAATTTTTCAATTTTTCAATTTTTAATTTTTCCCATTTTGAAGTTTCGTTTTTCGATGTTTCAGTTTTTCAATTTTCCGATTTTTGCGATGTTTCGATTTTTCGACTTTTTGATATTAAATTTTTCGATTTTTTAAAATTTTCGATTTTTTTGTTTTTGGATTTCTCAATTTCTTGATTAATCGATTTTTTGGGTTTCGACTTCTCGATTTTTCGAATTTTCAGGATTTAGGCCAAGTTTTCGATTTTTCGGTGATTTTTCAATTTCTCAATTTTTGGATTTATCGATGTTTTGGTTTTTCGACTTCTCAATTTTTCGATTTTCCAGGTTTTTGATTTTTCCATTTTTCGATTTCTTAAATTTCCGATTTTTCGACTCAAATTTTCATTTTCTCGATGTTTCAGTTTTGGGATTGTCCAATTTTTCGATTCTTCAGTTTCTCTTCGATTTTTCAAATTTTAGGTATTGAAGTTCTGCGATTTTTCAATATTTAGATTCTTCAATTTTTTTAATTTTCGTTTTTTCGATTTCTGAAATTATTACTTTGCGAATTTTTAAATTTTTGATGTTTCAGTTTTTAAATTTTTTGATGTTTTGATTTTTAATTTTGTGATTCTTTAATATTTCGGTTTTTAATTTTTCAACTTTTCAGTTTTTCGATATTTTAAATTTTAGGTTATTCAATTTTTTCATGTTTTCGAGTTTTCAATTTTTTTGAATTTTTTAATTTTCAATTTTTCGACTTTTTGATTTTCTGACTTTTGAATTCCTCAGTTTTCGATTAATCGATTTTTGAGTTGTCAGTTTTTGAAATTTTTAAATTTTCGATTTTTTGACTTCGATTTTTCGACTTTTCCATTTTTCATTTTTTCGATGTTTCGGTTTTCGGATTTTCAATTTTTTGATTCTTCAGGTTTTCTTCGATTTTTCAGATTTTCGAAATTGAGGTTTTGGGATTTTTCAATTTTTCGATTTCTGAGTTTTTTACTTTTTCAATTTTTCAATTTTCTGATGTTTCGATTTTTCAATTTTGTGATTCTTTAATTTTTCAACTCTTAAATTCTTCGATTTCTCGATTTTTCAGGTTTTCGATATTTTACTTTTTCGATTTTGACTTCTCGGTGTTAAGATTTTTCGGTTTTTAAATTTTTTTAATTTTTGATTTTTCAGTTTTTCGATTTTACAATTTTTAATTTTTTCCATTTTGATGTTTCGTTTCTCGATGTTTCAGTTTTTCAATTTTTCGATATCTTGATCTTTCGATTTTTCGACTTTTTGAAATTAAATTTTTCGGATTTTTAAAAATTTTCGAATTTTCGATTTCTCAATTTCTTGATTAATCGATTTTCTGGTTTTTTGGATTTCTCGATTTTTCGAATTTTCTCTTTTGCAATTTTTTGCAAGTTTTCGATTTTTCAATATATTCTACAATTTTTCGAATTTTCGATTTCTGAAATTACTGTTCCAATTTTTTAATTTTGGATTTTCTACTTTTTCGATATTCAAATTTTAGATTCTTCAGTTTTTTTTTTTTCATGTTTCCATTTTTACTCGGTTTTTAAAATTTTTCAATTTTTAACTGCCTTTTTGATATTTGGTGTCTCGATGTTTCAGTTTTTTAATTTTTTCAATATTTCGATTTTTCGACTTTTTATTTTAAATTTTTTAGTCTTTCAATTTTTCGATTTTAAAAGTTTTTATTTTCCAATTTTCCGATTTCTCGATTTATCAGTTTTTCGGTATTTTACTTTTTCGATTTTGATTTCTCGGTTTTAGATTTTTGGGTTTTTAAAATTTTTCAATTTTTAATTTTTCCCATTTTGATGTTTCGTTTCTAGATGTTTCAGTTTTTCAATTTTTCGACTTTTTGATATTAAATTTTTCGGATTTTTTAAAATTAAAAATTTTTCGATATCTCAATTTCTTGATTAATCGATTTTTTGGTTTTTCGTTTTTTTAAATTTTCGATTTTTTGTTTTCGATTTCTCGATTTGTCATTTTTTTCGATCTTTCAATTTTGGGATTTTTCAATTTTTCGATTTTTTTTTGATGCTTCGATTTTTCAATTTTTTAAACTTTTTCGAATTCTCGATTTTTCAGTTTTTCGATATTTTACTTCCTGGATTTTTTAAATTTAGATTATTCAATTTTTGGATGTTTCGATTTCTAGTTTCGATTTCGACTTCTCCGTTTTAGATTTTTTGGTTTTTGAATTTTTCGGTTTATAAAAGTTTTTAATTTTCTCAAGAAATTGAGAAAAATTCCGCAAAAATTTAATATCAAAAAGTCGAAAAATTAAAAATTAAAAAATTGAAAAATTTTAAAAAGCGAATAATCTAAAACCGAGAAGTCAAAATCAAAAAAGTAAAATCCCGAAATTTGAAAAATAAAAAACTTTAAAAATCGAGACTTGAAAGACCAAAAAATTTAAAATCAAAAAGTCGAAAAATCGAAATATCGAAAAAATTGAAAAACTGAAAAACTGAAACATCGAGAAACCAAATATCAAACAGGAAAAGTTAAAAATGGACAATTTTAAAAATCGAATAAAAAATGGAAACATTAAAAAATTTTTAAATATCGAAAAAGTGAAAAATTTTAAATTTTCGAAGTTGAAAAATTGAAAACCAAAAAATTCAACAATCTAAAATTAAAAAATTGGAACAGTAATTTCAGAAATCGAAAAATCGAAAATTTGAAAAAAATCCGAAAAATTTAATATCAAAAAGTCGAAAAATCGAAAGATCAAGAATTCGAAAAATCGATATTTTGGTTTTTCGATTTTTTAAATTTTCGATTTTTCGGCTTTTCGATTTTTCAGTTTTTCTTCGATTGTTAAATTTTAGATTTTTCGTTTTTTCGATTTTTTTATGCTTTCGAATTCTTGATCTTTCGATTTTCGCTTTCAAATTTTCCGGTCCTCCAATTTTTGAATTTATAAATTTTCTAATTTTTCAATTTTCCGATTTCTGGATTTATGGAGATTTCGATTTTTCGTTTTTCCGCTTTTGCATTTTTTTATTTTTCGATTTATCGTTTCTTTTTTAATTTTAAATTTCTCAATTTTTTTATTTTTAACTTTTCGATTTTTTAAAATCTTAGATTTTTCGATTACTAATGTTTTAATTTTTCGATATACCGATTTTTTATCATTGCAGTTTTGAAATTATTTAATTTTTCGATTTTGGAGTTTTTTGATTCAAGTTTCCGATTTTTTAAATTTTGGATTTTTCAATTTTTATTTATTTATTTTTTTATTCTGGCACACCTCAAGGTTGAATACTGGGTTCACAAATGTTTCTTCTTTTTATCAATGACCTATGCGATAGAAAAATATGCATGATAGGTGTTGTAGAGACAACCGTTCCCCCAAAAACACCTGATCTACCTGAAGGCATCTAAAATCATGTAAAATCTCTTTCGTCTACCTGCCCTAAGCTTCCAGTTTCTAGAATTTTCTAACCTTTTTCTTTACCGACTTCCACCTCCAAAACCGAACCTACCTGTCGACCCTTCAAGCACCCTTCAAGATCCTCGAGCTTTCAAACCGTAAGCATCTACCAAAAATCTGAAAAACCGTAACCGTTGCTATTTCCAAATCCAAAACCTCCAGGACCAATCACCCCGACGCCATCACCCGGCAACCCCTCCCTCCCCAAACCCCCATTGACAGCATGAGAAATGTCAAAATTAACCGTACGTCTCGTAAACGTGATAAAACTGCTCTCTTTCCAACACGACAACCTGCGTAACATCAGCGACAAGGTAGTCAAGCTCCAGTTCCTCACCCTCTTCAAGGCCATCTCGAACCTCGTCTCGGTGGACCACAATGCCGAAGACAAAATCTCCAAGTACTGGGTCGGAAAATCCGTCGAGGAAGTGATCGACGAGGCCGACGTCCTCTTCGGCCAGGGCAAGTACCTCGAGGTGTACGAACTCCTCAACCGCCTCAAGTTCTGCAACAACGCCGAGGTCCAATGGCGCATCGCGCGCGCCCTCTTCAAGCTCTCCTGCCAGACCAGCATCCGCGAGTCCGTGCGCCAGGAGATGATCCAGGAGGCCTTCGACATCATCAGCGCCAGCCTGGCCACCGCCGAGGACTCCGCCAAGGTGCACAAGTGGGCGGCGATAGTCATCGACAGGAAGAACGGCATGAACGGGCTGGAGCAGCGCGTCAAGAACTCGGAGATCGTCAAGAGCCACCTGATGCGCTCGTGCGAGCTGGACCCCAGCGACGTGACCGCGCAGTACCTGCTGGGGCGCTGGTGCTACGAGATGAGCAACATCACGTGGTTCCAGAGGATCATCTCGAAGCTGCTGTTCGGGGAGCCGCCGCAGGCGAGCTTCGAGGAGGCGCACCAGTACTTGGCGAAGGCGGAGGATCTGCACCCGAGGTTCTACCTGCAGAATACGTACCTGCTGGGGAAGACGTGTCTGAAGCTGGGGCAGTACTACAGGGCGAAGCACTACTTCGGGGTGGTGGGGAATTTGCCGGTGCACAACGACTACGAGAAGCGTTGTGCGGCGGATGCCAAGAAGCTGCTGAAGCGGTTGGATAAGTATAATTTAGAGAAGGGGGCTCTGTTTTATGAGTACCCCTTCGGGACACACGAATAGACTATAAATTATGATTTTGTTGTTTGAGCTTTTTTATTGACCGCAATAAATAATTGGTATGAGACGGGTCCTATTTTACAAGTCGACGGGTCGTAAATCAGGAGGTGCTGGTGGAGATTGTACTTAGACGATCAGGCGATGTTTGGTCTCTGGTTTGATCATTTTTGTCAAATATTGTTATTATCCGAAAACGTACAGAAATTATGGGGAAGTAGCTCAAGGATCTGTGCAGACCCGTTGTTATTACATGGCATATCAACGACTTACATACATGACCACATGGAATCATGTACGTGATCATTTTGTTGTTTTTATCAGATTTACTAAACATGATAAAGTACGAAATTCTCGCTTTCAGTTTATCAAAATATTTCTAGAAACATTCGTGGAATCAGTAGCAGAAAAGTTTTATCGTTTTTGATTATCAACTTGAAGCGTAAATATTGTGTGTGTATTTTCTGCGTTGTTTTATCGTTAGCTTTTAGAACAAAATGTTTAGAATTGTTTAGTAACTACATCAATATATATATAATATAAAAATATAAAATATACATAACTACTCGATGCGCAATGTTTTTTGAACGTATGGCGTAGCTAACGTCAGACGTCGCACATCTGGCAGTAAATTCGTTCTGTCACTTCTGACCACTGACATTGCTTTCATCTATAGACTGTCACTATTTGAATTGTCAATCTAACCTCAAATTATTGTTAGACGCTAGCTACGTTCGGAAAACATTTGAGTATCAAGAAGTAACTAGATAGAGGTGTTTTTTATTTGATCGTCTTCCAACTTCGATTTCTCAGTTTTTCGATTTTTGAGATTTTTCATTTTTTTCTCGATTTATGGGTTTGTCAAGATTTCGAGTTTCGATATTTCGTTTGTTCATTTTCTCTATTCAATTTTTTAATTTTTAAATTTTCGATTTCTCTGTTTTACCAATTTTTGGCTTTTCGATTTTCCAATTTTTCAGTGTTCTGATTTTTTGATTTTTCAATTTTTCGATTTCCGAATTTTTTTTTTCAGTTTTTTGACGTTTCAATTTCTCGATCTTTTATATTTCGTTTCTCAATTTTTCGATGTTACGATTTTTTCATTTTTTGATTTCCAGATTTTTCAGTTTTGCAATTCTTCAGGTTTTCGTTTTTTCAGTGATTTTTCAATTTTTTAAATTTTCAATTTTTCAACTTTTTGATTTTCTAACTTTTCAATTCCTCAATTTTTCAATTAATCGACGTTTTGGTTTTTCGATTTTTTAAATTTTCGATTATTCGCCTTTTCGATTTCCCGATTTGTCATTTTTTTTCGATCTTTCAATTTTGGGATTTTTCAATTTTTGATTTTTTTTGATGCTTCGATTTTTCAATTTTTTTATTCTTTAATTTTTAGAATTTCAAGTTTTAAAACGTTTTCGTTTTCTCGATTTTTCCGTTTTTCGATATTCTACTTCCTGGATTTTTAAATTTAGATTATTCAATTTTTTGATGTTTCGATTTCTAGTTTCGATTTTGACTTCTCCGTTTTAGCTTTTCCGGTTTTTAAAAGTTTAATTTTCGATTTTTCAATTTTACCTTTTCACTTTCGATGTTTCGATTTTTCGAATTCTTGATCTTTCAATTTTCGCTTTCAAAGTCTCCGGTCCTCCAATTTTTGAATTTATAATTATAGATTTTTTAGTTTTTTGGTTTTTCAGTTTTTCGATTTTTGAAATTTTTGATTTTTTTTTCGATTTCTGGGTTTGTCGAGATTTCGAGTCTCGATTTTTCGTTTGTTCAATTTCTTGATTCAATTTTTTAATTTTTAACTTTCCTATTTCTCAGTTTTACAAATTTTCGGCTTTTCGATTTAACAATTTTTACAGTGTTCTGATTTTTTGAGTTTTCAATTTTTCCATTTCTCGATTTATCAAGATTTCGATTTTTCGACTTCTCGATCTTACGATGTTTTGTTTGTCCATGTTTCGATTTCTCAATCTTTTATATTTCGTTTATCAATTTTTCGATGTTACGATTTTTCCATTTTTTGATTTCTAGATTTTTCGTTGTCATTTTTGGAATTTTTCAGTTTTTCGATTTTTCCATTTTCCAATTTTTCAGTTTCTAGAATTTTTAAATTCTGAATGTTTCTATTTCTCGATCTTCGATTTGAGGTATTTCGATTTCTTAATTTTTCCATTTTTCGACTTTTTCATTTCTCGATCTTTTCAGATTTCGTTTCTCGATGTTTCAATTTTTTTCACTTTCTCGATTTTTCCATTTTCCGATTTTTCGTTTGTTCAATTTCTTATTTTTTCAATATTTAACTTTGATTTTTGGATTTTGAGCCATTACGATTTCTTAATTTTTTGATTTTTTGACTTCTCGATTTTTTGATTCTGAATATTTCGCTATTTTGTTTCACGATGTTTCTATTTTTCGATTTCTCGGTTTTTTTCAATTTTTCCAAATTTTAGATTTTCCAATTTTTGGACTATTTCGATTTTTCAATTTCTCGAATTTTTAAATTGTAGATTTTTCAGATTTTTCAAGTTTCATTTGCTCGAACTTTCGAGTTTTCGACTTTTCTATTTTAGATTTTTTGGTGTTTCAATTTTTCAATTTTTAACTTTTCGATTTCTCAGTTTTACAAATTTTCGGCTTTTTGATTTTCCAATTTTTCAGTTTTTTGATGTTTCGATTTCCCGACCTTTCAACTTTTGGGTGTTAGGTTTTTCGGTTTGTCAATTTTTCAATTTTTAAAATTTTTGACCTCGATTTTCAATTTTTCGATTTATCGATTTTGGTTTGTTCAATTTCAGGATTTTTCAATTTTTAACTTCCAGTTTTTCGATTTTCCGATTTTTTAATTTTTGGATTCCTCGGTTTTCCGATGTTTCAATTTTTTGGTTTCCGATTTTTTCGTCGTTTCTGTTTTGAAATTTATGAATTTCTCGATTTCAATTTTTCAAATTTTTAAATTTTATATTTTTCAATTTTGTGATGTTTCGATTTCCCGATCTTTCGACTTTTGGGTGTTAGGTCTTTCGGTTTGTCAATTTTTCGATTTTTAAAATTTTTGATTTTTCGATTTTCAATTTTTCGATTTCCGAATTTTTCGTCGTTTCTGTTTGAAATTTTTCAATTTCTCAATTTCAATTTTTCAAAATTTAAAATTCTAGATTTTCCAGTTCTTTGATGTTCCGATTTTTCAATTTTTCAATTTAAATTTTAAATTTTTCAGTTTTTTGTGTTTCGATTTCTCAATCTTTCCGACTTTTCGGTGTTAGATTTTCCGATTTTTTAAATTTTCGGTTTTCCGACTTTTCGGCTTTTCGATTTTCCAGTTTTTCGATGTTCCGATTTTTCAATTTTTTGGTTTCCGAATTTTTCGTCGTTTCTGTTTTGAAAATTTTCAATTTCTGGACTTCAATTTTTCGAATTTTTAAATTTTATATTTTTCAATTTTGTGATGTTTTAATTTCCCGATCTTTCGACTTTTCGCTTTTTCAATTTTTCGTTTATAAATTTCTTGATTTTTCGATTTCCTATTTTCGATTTATCCAGATTTTGATGTTTCGATTTTAGACTATTTTTCAGTTTTTCGATTTCCGAATTTTTCGTCCTTCTGATTCGAAATTTGTCAATTTTTCAAAATCTTAAATTTTACGTTTTCCAATTTTTCAGTTCCCCAATTTTTGCCTTTTCTGTTTTGGAATTGTTCAATTTTCGATTTTAATTTTTCGAATTTTTGAATTTTTCGGCTTTTCAATTGTTCAAATTTTCTCGAGATTTCAAAGTTTCGATTTCTCGATTTTTTAAATTTTTTATTTTTCGAAATCTCGGATCTTTTATCTTTCGTTGGTCGAAGTTCCGATTTTTCATTTTTTAATTTCTCGATTTTTCAATTTTTCGATTTATCCCTTTTTTTATTTTAAATTTTTCAATATTTCAGTTTTTAACTTTTCGATTTTGTGAAACTCATTATTACACCTCATTTATTTTGATATGTTGACATTTGTAAATAATAAGTTCGTATTTCAAAGATTTTATTGAATTTACAAAAAAAAAAAAAACATATGTTGTGTCCAGTCAAGTGACACTTTATTTGACATTAAAATGTCAAATTGAACAAGTGACGTGTTGGTGTTGCCAACATAATTTTTTAACAAAAAAAAAAAAAATGCGCCCCTAGTTAAATATTTAATTGCGATGGACACTGTAAAAAATGTAATGTTGTCTTCGGGACTTTAAACTGAAAAGTTTAAAATATCTTAACGTTTGTGTAACTTGATAATTTTCTAAATTTATGATCAACTATTTATATCTATCATTTTTATCTTCTACAAAATTTATGGCTCCATTCAACTTTAAGTCGCTCCAAATGTTCAATATTTCCTGGATAACGAAGTTTATGAGTTTCCGGAAATTTGTCAGGGTTCTTTGAATTCAAAATTTGAGATTTCCCGTTCTTTACTAGTTAGAAGTCGTATATTTTGAATACAACTAATATAATTTTCACATTTTGTCAGTAGAATTGTCAAATTGTTACTACAATTCATTTATTTTGACATGTGGACATACGTAAATGTTAAATTCTTAGGTAGCATTATATCTTTTAGGACGGTTAATTGAATTTGTGAAACGTCACCTCAAAAAATAAACGAAGTATAGCCACAATAATTATTTTTACGATTTTTATTTATGATTTATCTGCTTCATTTTTTTTAACAAAACTTTGACGCTAATCCTCAATTAATTACGTTATTTCGAAAACACAAAACCGCCACACTCTAGTTTTATTTGACGCCGTTTCCAGCTATTTTAATCAACACTTAATTGCATTGTTCCGATCAAACCGCCTCCCATTAATTACGAATTCATAGCCCGTTGAATTTTTTAGGAAGCGCATTTACCAAGGGGAAATTTCTCGACGTACATCATGTGACGGTCCTCTTTAAAAATAAACGACCCACGACTTAAAATAAACACGCTGTTTGCTCCTATTTATAATTGTCGCTATTTTTGTAGACTTTTGTTTCGACATCGAACATCCCACAAATGCGATGTTCGAATTGTGTATATTTG